TCTGCAGCCAGCGGCCGCAAATACACAGGGTACAAAGTTCGTTTCGTGTGCATTAGCCTGTGCCTGTGTATGTCTGTTATTGTCTGTGTCTGGTCTGCCAAACATGAATACGAAAATGCATGGACGAAAAATTTCGGCAGGCCGATGCGAGTATACCCTTACCGTTTCGGCGATCAGTAAAACTAAATTGAACTTGTTAAATGCATTGTAAATAGTTATACGTTCTGGTATTCGTTAAATACTTGAACTGCCTTCTTGGGAACGGCAGACTATAGTTGTACAAAATATACATAGATTATTATATCGGGCTGAAGCGGCTTTTCTATGTGCATTACAAAATTATGTTACCCCCCGCAAGGGTATCCCGACTATACATACACATCATAAACGTATTATAATGAATATGAAAATCTGAATGTGCCTGTTTTTACAGTTTCTGTCCAACCGCTTCTTGTGCAAGTTGTTCACACGCCGATCTGATCTGATCCCCCTCTCACTCCACGGCCATGGCTGCTCACTTCTTTCGCACTGCATTTTACGCAACTGCAGCGAAAAAATCGATAAGTCTACCGTTCGCTGCCGGCCGGACAGCCGCAACGCTAGCCGTGGGCCTTTCCTTTGGTGGTAAATGTTTGAATGTGGAAGGCAGCAGTTCTATCTGAAAATGAAACCATTCAACTCACGTTTATTTATACATATTTATTTGTCTGTCCCCATCCCGATCCGCCATTCGCCTCATGCACAGCACAAAATAGCCGAAACGCTGGCGCTGGCCCGTACGAGAATGTCTACGCAGACAATTTCTTCAGTGGGTGCGGGGGCGCCGTATCCACCGGCAGCAAGGGTCTGCTGCGTCCAATGGCCGAGTACCGGGAGATCCAACGGCCGCTATGTCGCAATTTCTCGAGCTTGAGCACCGGCGGGCCGCAGGTGGCACATGTAAGCATTACCATTATATATTGCACCTTGTTGGCTTTTAATTGAACTTTAACCTGTAATTGCCCCCCACCACACTAACACACCCTCCGCTTGCCTATAAACGTGCATCTATCTTCTTATTGTGTGGGTTCTTTCGGTTCGGTTCTGTTCTTTTCCTTTTTGAATTTGCATGCATGAAATGATTTCCTCTGTACTTTGAACCCTGTATATGACTGCTCTCTATATCTCTCTCTCTCTGTCTGTTTTCTCTGATTTGTTATACCGATTAGGTGCTATGTATGTATATATTATTTTAGGAACATTTTGTATTGGTTTTTTAATTGCCTGCAATTTGTGGAGTCCCATTTAACGCTTGAAGTAGCCAGAAAATAATTGGCATTGGAGTATTTCGATTGATAGCTTCGATACAAAATGGTCTGCTTGAACCCATATCCTTGGGAGTACTCTTTGAGCCACCCTCGCCCGTCAAGCTTCGATCAAACACGCTCAATTGGGGCGAGCAACAGCAGTGGCAGCTTTTTCCATGATATACACACATCATAATGGCGCTCAATGCCAAGCTTTCGCCCTGAGCCCCCAAAGCATGTGGCACTCTTATGAGTTCCAAGCCACACGCTGATTGTACCTGGCACTCCATGTACGAAGGGGTATATCGTGTTAGAATAAAAATAGAATATGTTCTCTACAAATTATACGAGTTGCTTTCTCGGTTGGGTATTTTGTAGTCGATCCATTCTACTTTACCCTTTCCAGTGCCGCAATGTAATTTAAGCCGACGCCACAGACTTTTCGGATCCCTATTATATATGTACACATGGACTATACACACATGAGCACGAATAACTATTTTCCATTGGAAGTAAGCTCCGCCGAGCTATGCCACGATCGTCCCACTGGATATATCGTGCCAGTTAGTCCGTCGTTGCACCTGCTGCCCTGGGCATCTTTGTTTCCATAATGGATTTCCTAATTGGAATTACGTTGTTGGTCGTATTAGTGGTCGTATTACTTAAAGGTCTATCGACGTCTGAAACGTGTGAGTGGCCGTGAACCAAAAGTTCAAGTTCAAAATGTCAAACCAAAGTGAAAGTATCTCGTTCGCTCTCTCCTCCTCTCCTGTCCAGTTGTCTGGTTCGTTGATGTTTAATTTATGTTTTATTCTTCTTCGTTAGTTCGTTTTTTCCATTCGGAAAAAAGCGGAGCTGGAAATGATTCCATTAATCTAAATTGCAACTCCTTATCGTTAGGTTTGTCTGGCTATCTTTGAATACAGGTGCTATCAGTTGGTTTAGAGGTCTTAGCCAAAGAAAAAATAAAACCCTGAGTCGAAAAACGAGCCAAACCCATTGCTCCCTTTTCATTTAGTATTCAGCATTAGCGGATAATTGACGTTTGACTACGGCAGCTCCTGATAACTCGGTAATAATCATTAATACGGATATGACACGCTGAATGAAGAGATAATTATCGGCTGCATCGTAAATTACAAAAACTCTATTATTGTAAATCATAACATTCATTCAAGTGAAACGGTCAATTCTGAAGTCTGTCTGTCCTTTAGCTATACAGCCGGTCATAAACACTCGATGAAATCTGGATCTCATCTAATCATACCACGCCCCAGTAACGGCTACAGTTTATATAAATACGAGGTAGCACCTGCGGTTTATCAAGAGCTATGTAGCTCTTATCATGTGTAGAGTGTAGTGTGGCAAAATCAAGGTCAGCTTTGCTAGCATCGGAAAAAGCAAAGCTTTATCAATAATCCCGATATTTGGATATAGGTACATTACCCAGTCCCAACCCATGCCAAATATAATCTCTCATTAAGACTCAAACCGATCAGGCCATACTGTCTACCCCAAAATTATATTTCCTATCTAATCGGGCATTGATTGAACCCACAACTGGACCTATCCAAACTATGGTTTAATACCTAAACAGATTACCCCATAACAACCATTATCGATAGAGTCTAGACCTGAAGGTATAATAAAGTACTAAGCACAGAAGCAAAAAAATATATATCGGTATTTATCTGTGACTCATCCAAAACTTTCCATTTCCTCTATTGCGCCATAATCATTTAGAATTTAGAAAATATATCCAAGACTAATCTATTATATATTCCGTGTTTTCTTCAGAGCGCCATGGCACCGTTGAAGAATCGTCGGCAAATATCTTCGCAAGATATTACCAAAAACATGACTCTATATACTAGCAACAAAACGAACATCGAAGTGGATCCCAAGACGCTGGCGTTTAAGAACCCGACTGGCAATCCCTTGGTTCTGATGATGGCCTGGCTGATGGCCAAGCAGAAGCATCTGAAGAAATACGCCCAGATCTACACGGAAATGGGATTCGATGTGATGGTGGTGCACATTACGCCCTGGCAGCTGTTGTGGCCCGTAAAGGGAACCCAGGTAAGAAAATCTATAGCCAATCAGTTTCCACCTGTGCCAACATTCATAATTAGTCACTAACGCATGCGATTACCCATTTCAGGTGGTGGCCGCCGAGACTCTGAAGTTTCTCGAGAACAACGCATCGTATGAACCGATCGTCACGCATGGCTTCTCCGTTGGAGCATACCAGATGGGCGAGATTATGTTGCAGATGTCACGCGATATGGATCGCTATGGCAGTATGCTGGAGCGCTTCGTTTGCCAAATTTGGGACAGTGCTGCCGACATTACCGAGATTCCCGTAGGCGTGCCCAAGTCCATCTTCCCCAAGAACGAACGCATGCAGAGCGCGCTGAGGAACTACACCCTTTACCACATGAAGACATTCCACAACCAGGCCACCATTCACTATATGCGCTCCAGCCAAATGTTCCACTCCACCCTGCTCAAGGCCCCGGCGCTGTTCTTCGTCTCTGACAACGATCCGATCGGACCACCTTCGTCGAATCAAGCTGTCCGCGAGAACTGGGAGAGGGCCAACGTGAAGGTTACATTCAAGCGCTGGGAACGCTCTCAGCACGCGGCCCACTTCATGAAGCATCGGGATGAGTATCTGCAGACCTTGTTCCAGCACCTGGAAGCCTGTGGGGTGCTCGAGGCCATTGGAGTCCCCAAGCGCGCCAAGTTGTAAGCCTCTGAAGGCTGACGAATCGGTGATATACATTTAAAAAGATATTCAACAATCAATGCGATTATGATTTTACTTTAGTTTCTAAGATCTAACGTTTAACAAACAAACAAAATTGTCCCCAATCCGATCTTTATAAATATATTTGGCTTCGAGCCCTTCCGCAATGGTATCAAAACCGTAATGCAAGCGGAATATGTAGACTAAGAGAAGAATATCGTGAATTGCATGAAACGAAATATAAAATTCTATTCTCTATATTATCTTTTAACTAAATAAAGTAAACTTACAGATAAAATATGCAAAACAAAAAATGAATTTCTAGCTTCCGCTGCGGACAGGATTCGAACCTGTGCGGGTAGAACCCAATGGATTTCAAGTCCATCTCCTTAACCACTCGGACACCGCAGCACATTTTATGTCGGTGTCAAATGTACCATTTGATAGGAACACCAAGCGCCACCTGTGAGAAACGTTTGGCAAAAACGCCAACTAAGACGCTGCGGAGAATACCTAGACTAACCGTGAACTAGTTCTGGATTGGGTTCTAATTAGGCGCTAGTACGTACCAGGGCTGATACACAGTAGGTAATTTTGATATAACCCCAAATGGGCAAATTTGACTTCTTTTTTATGTTGATTACTTAACAAATTACTTTTGATACACATATTTTAATAATACTTTCATTTTATCAATGTTCGGACATGTGACATGCTGAAATATCCCACAGTAGCGCAATAGTGCGCCCGGACCTAAGAAGCTATTCTGGCACAACATTTTATATCAGCTGCGGTGTCCGAGTGGTTAAGGAGATGGACTTGAAATCCATTGGGTTCTACCCGCACAGGTTCGAATCCTGTCCGCAGCGGCAATTCCCAGACTTTTTTGTTTTGCCTAACTACTATACCTTATTTTTGAATATTTTCATTTTTAGTTACATTAAACGACCTCAATCAAATAGTTGTGGTTTTGTTGGCTTGTATTCTGTTATGTATTTGTACGTCTGCTACAAAAATAGTTTGCATTTTGATTTATCTTTAAAACTATGGTTTATATTTAATAAGAAGAAACTTAATACAAAACGTCTGTATTAAAAGAAGTTATAACCTAAAATCTATCCACATTCGCCCCTGAACACTGTTCACTGCTTGCCCGGTGGTCGGTAGACGCCCACGACAACAGCGTGATCACGCTCGTACGGCTCCAGCGTGAGCTGTTCCTGTGGCTTCAGTTTGTCCGCCTGCATCTTCTTGACCTCGGCGGCAAATACCGCCTCGGGCTGCGCCGTCGAGTCAATGCAGGATGCCTTAATCGAGATGACAAAGTGTCCTCCGTTCTTAAGGAAGTGCTGTGCGTTCAGGGCCACAATACGGCCCTGATCGGGCTGGGCGACGTCTGCGAATATGGTGTCGACCATGCCCACCAGCATGCGGTATTTGTGGGGATGGCGAGCGTCCTCGATGATGGGTATGATGTTGGTGCGTTTCTTGGCCACATTGATCAGATCGCGACCCGAACGATGTGAGAACTCTACGGCATAGACTAGACCCTCGGGCCCCACTACATCCGACACATGGGAAACTGTGGTGCCAGACGCTGCGCCCAGATACAAGACCTTCGAGCCAGGAGGCATGTGAATCTTCTCGACGCCACCCAGAATGGCAGCAGCCAGCTTGGAGCGGAAGGGATTCCACACACGGTACTCGATTTTCTCGCCATTGGTCTGTGAAGGAAGCAAGAAAAAGGTTTGAAAAGCTGTTCATAGACGAATATTAAGAATTATTGGGTGCTGAGAGATTTTGCCTCAGTTGTGCATTATTCTAAGCGACCAAAGCGCACCTGAAGCCGCTTCACGTGCACCTGAAGTGCACACAGCTCCCGGTGAACGCAATGGCCGCTCATGGCCACATAATGCCATGTTCTGTACCCCTGCACAACATCATCATCAGCTGGAATCTAGGCTTAGAGCAAATGTTTGATGTCAAAACGAACCTCGACAGAAATGCGCTTCTCTCCGTATACTTCAGATCCAGGTACAAAGTTGCGGGTGACCAGAGCATCTTCCTTGCCGCGAGCAATGAAGACTCCCTCGTGACGATGTGGCTCGATTGTGACTGTTTTGCCACCCTTGAAACCACCGGCTCCGCCGCCACGACCACCTCCTCCGCGTCCGCCACCACCGCGACCACGATCTCCACCGCCTCGGCCACCAAAGCCTCCGCGTCCACGGCCGCCACCGCGATCACCACCGCCGCGTCCACCGAAGCCTCCGCCGCGTCCACCTCCGCGTCCACCGAAGCCGCCGCCACCACGATCACCACCTCCGCGGCCACGGAATCCTCCGCCACCTCCTCGTCCCTCGCCACCACCACGATCACCACCTCCTCGGCCACGGAATCCTCCGCCTCCTCTGCCTTCACCACCACCGCGTGGACTGAAACCTGCACAAAAACACAAGGAAAACTCATTTCATCAAGATGCACACTCACTAGGAGGTTAAGTTCCATGTTTTTTCTTAGTTTCAGAGACTGCCTTCATTGCTGCGTAGCAGTTTCCGTTTTCCTCACCTGGTTTTCCCATTTTTAAATGCTGTAGTTTAACTTTTTAATAGAACTTAAGCGAAAATTTAATCTTCGAAGGAACACGCGGCCAGCAAAACGCTGTACCAAAAGAAAACACGTGTGTTCGCGAGCTGCCAGACCGCCGATGGAGCCATCGATACATCGAATCGGCTCACTATCGACTGCATTTTTCACTATCGATATGACAAGTTCACATTAATTTAGAGAAAATTGAATTAACAATTCACTATTAAACACATATATTTGAAAGAAATATACCAAGAAACACAACATAAGCAAAGTGCGCCTTATATCAACTTAAATAATTGAACATATTGATAAAATATAGAATATACTTAACCCACTGAGCACCCCTCTATTTAAAAGGGGGAACACGCCTTGTAAACAGTGGAAAATAATACTGTATGTAATGGCTCCTTGTAGCTCAATATTCCTCTTTACTTAAAAAAAAAAACATGAGCATGATGTCTTTCACATGAAATGCGTGCATCACGTTCAAGTTTCATTATATTCGTGGAAATATTTAAATACGCCCTGGTATTCAATGGGTTAACGTCCTGTCCTGTTGATCAAAATCATATTCCCCGATTTTAATATTACAAGCTAGTTAGGACTTTCAGAACTCAAAATATTATTGTATCATATAGATGAATCAATTTTCTACAATCTGGTTTATTTTAGGGACTACTATTATAAAATAAGGCTTAAACAAAGAAGATACTAAAAAATATCCTTTCTTACATGGTATCTACACGGTAACTATACATTTACTACATATCAAGAAAAGAGAGTATATAAATGTGAATTAATATCCGTTAAGATTCGGCTATATTTGATAGTTAACCAGAAAAATAGTACTACTCATTCTGAACATAGAGCTGTGGTTACTATGTTAATGCCAATGCCCTCAAACCTTTCCATACAAAACACAGTCCGAGTAGTCCTTGACAATGACCCAGGCGCCTTGGAGATCTAGTTTTCTTTAACCAAACAAACTTCCAAATCTGTTCAATCGATGTGAAAATTCTCGTTCCTTTAATTCAGTCCAAGTTGTGGAACGTTCCTGTTGAAAGCTAAAATTTACTCAAACAAACATAAATAATTAATTTGTTTTTCATATTCGTACATTTGTAATTATCATCATGGCTTTCCATTCGGTGGTCACAATGGAGAAGCCGTTGCAGCATATCTCGCTGACGGATTGGCATGCTCGCGTCAGCCAGTTGCGGAATGTAGCAGATGCACGTCGATCGGACGCCTTTGCCATACGCCACGCCTCGCGTTCGTTGCGGAACGAGACAAGGATCGAAGGTGACTGGGCCAACTATGAGACCAATGAGGGCCTGACAGATCGGTGAGTAGTGGGTTGTAGCTCTACTGGCCAAGTATCTCTTTGACTGCTGTCTCGGTTTCAGTATATCCGAGCTGACTCGTTGGCGCGACATCATAGCGAAGACGTTTGAGCGTATCGAGCGTGAGATTTACATGCTCCAGGAGGAGAAAAATGCAACCGAACGCGAGCTGGAGACACTGACGGGTCCCATATCGGTGATTGCCGAGTGCCTGACCATGCGCGATGGCCGTCTTGGCTCTGAGATGACCTACGATGAGGCCGACACGGAGATCAAGAACGAGCTGGCAATATTGGAGAACAATCAACGTCTACTGGCCGACCGCTGCCAGAAGGCATGGGAGAAGCTGACGCGCCTGGAGGAGGTGCGCTTCAAGATCGGCATGGAGATCGACAACAAACTGGAGGCAGTCGAGCTGGATAATTCACAATTGGCCTTGGACCGCAATGCCGCCAACATATCGTACAAGCCGGATCCCACCAGGAATCCAAAGAAGTGAGTAATCCATCAATCGTTCGGTTTTTGTAAAGCACTTCCGTTGATTTTCCCTGTAGCTCTTGTTCCTACGAGACCTGGTTGGAGCATGTGAAGAACATGAAGCAGCTGGCGGAGAATGAGCTGGCCGACACCTATGCCATTCGCGAGGCTTTGTTCGTGTGCCGCGAGAAGGCCCGCAACATGCTCCAGTCGCAGCAGGAGCGAGCCGAGCACACCATTCGCAAGCGCATCTTCGAGACGCAGCGGGCACGCAACGAGCTCGAGTGGCAGAAGATGAAAATGAAGGACGAAATGGAGCAGGCGGTGTGTGAGATTAAGACGCTGGAGCAGGCGCTGCGTGACAAGTCCGACGGTCTGAAGTTGGCCGAAACTCGGCTGGAGAATCGTGCCCAACGCTCTGGCATGGAGCTGTGCATGGACCAGGCCCACGAGATGCTCTGTGTGGAGGTGGAGAAGCTCCGTGAGATCCGGCGTCGTCTGATTGCCAAGATTGACGAGAGCAAAGCCAATTACAACCTCATGGAGGAGCATGCCCAGAAGATCGATGTGGATCTGGAGAATAAGCAACACTCCTTGATGACTGACATACGGGCCCTCGACTTGCGTCAACGTCTCAAGGGTGGCGAGTTCGGCCTGAAGATGGCCAATCCGAGTGCTCAGACCGACAGGAACATTGTGCTCACACGCATGGAGGATGAGATTCCAAAGACATAAAATGTTCAGCTGATCATAGCCATTTCAATGTTTTCTATCTGTTCCCAGTTTGTTTCTGTGTTTATTTGTCCAAATTTATGTGAATTAAATGGAAATTTCTTGAGCAGTTCATCTCTTTTGTTGGGAAAAGCCAAAGCTCAGCTGTCCCAGCAATGGCTTGAAGTCTATACTCCACTCCACTGCACTGCTGGACAGATCGGTGGTGGTGGGTTTCCTTGGAAAGTGCACGCCCTGGCGCACAAACATATCCCACTTGACAAACTCGCCGGGAACTACAGATTCGCTGGGACCGGTGCTCACAATAGACTTGGCATTGTTGGTTTTATCCAAGTGCCAGTCAACCCAAAGGGCAATTCCATTGCAGACGCCCGACCTGCAAAAAGAATATATTGATAATGGCCTGATTATAACCAGAGATTCAATGGCTAAGACTTACTGCGTCAGCTCTATGCTGCCCTGGAGGTTGTGTTCGGCACTGAAGTTGGCAAAGTCCACGTTGAGAATCTGCTGCGGGTCGGCCAGGGCGCGACAGGGATATTCCCACAATGGTTGCGCCTCCACATGGGACACTGCCTGTTCAGCGGACCTCTGTAATCAATGAAATTCGTGAAATGTCTCTAGGGGAGACACTCAAAATTATCTACTTACCTCGACCATTTCGTCAAAGAGACGCAGATCGAACCCCTCGCAGTTGCCCACAGGAGCACGAATCTTGTACAAATCCAAGAACTCCACGGGCAAGGCAAATATTCTCGCCTCACATGGCGAAATCTCCACACTCTCTGGCAGTTTATCCTTTAGTTTCATCAGCAATGTGCCAAAGTAAAAGTTATCCCAGGGCAGAATAGCATTGAGGAAGTAGGGTTCCGCAAAGACATGGGTCAGAGCGACCAATTCAGTTTCCTCCAGTTGCCCAACGTCCTCAACATACTTAACGTTCTTCAGCTCGTTGTGCTGCACAATTGAGTCGATCAGGCGGCGTGAGAATCGATGTGGCTCATGGAGCTGTACCGACGCTGCACCAAGGGCCGCGCTAGCCAGACCTAGCAGGCAGCCATTGCCCAGGACCAGGACATTTGATTGCTTGGGCACAATGCTGTCCTCCAGGTAACGCAGGTAACGTTTGTTGCGTATGGCCTGATTTAGCTGACCGATTCTGCTGCGGGAGTAGGTCATGTGCAGGTCGCAAGAGCAGGTATGCCGACGCACAGTTTTGGCGGGCGCCTCCAGCAGAGCATCGAACCAGAGCGAGTACTCATCGTGGTGGCAGCTCAAGTAGAAGGCCTGACCAGCAGTGACAAGCTGCGGCGGTTTTGGCACGTAATAGATGGCCTGCATCCAGTGGTCCCGCCAGGGGACGACATTGGCCACAGGTAAGCGGTCCTCCTTGCTGGCAGCCAACTCTTTGAGCTGCGGATGGGCCCAGTACGGAGCACAGCTGAGCAGGATTTCCCCTTGATCGTCCAGTTGAATGTCCCACCAGTAGAATACCAACTCCGCGGCACCCGGCTGACTCGACTGCAGTTGCAGCAGTTTCTCCCTTTGCTTCTCTCTCTTCTCCTTGCGCTGGAAATCGAACTGGAAGATCTCGATGGGCTCTGTCAGCAGGCGGAAGGTGCCGGGCGGCAGCTGCGAGAGCTGAACATCATGTAGAGCAGCCTCTCCATTGCAATTCTTTAGCTGTTCTGGTGGTCGGAGTAAGGCTTCACCATCCAGATTTGGGAGAATCTTTAGGCTGTTCCATTGTGAGGCCAGCGGGGACTGAGCCACCTGCGCGTAGCACCTGGCGCGCGCCGGTATGCACAGAGCGTCGTCGGTGAGCAGCTCGGCATGGGCATGATTGTAGATGCCGATGGCGCCCTCCCCAATCAGCTCGGTATCCAACAGCTCGGCCACCAGGAGATTCGCCCGCTGCGGCATGTCCATGCCCGCACCAATTTTAATGTCCGTTGAGCGTTTTCGAATCAGTTGCACTTTGTCGCCGACTCCATTGTCGGACAAAATCTTGGCCGCACAATTTGCCATGGGCAGAAAGGCCTCGCAGGCGGTAACGGAGTCCGCCCCAGCTTTCAAGGCCATCATTGAGAGTATGCCCGTTCCGGTGCCAATGTCCAGGACATGTACTTCCTTTCCTGCGGCACGCATGTCCTTTATGGTTTTCCTTAGTGCCGCGAAATACTTTTGATTCCTCTCCCAGTCGTGCAGCATGTCCCCGAAGCCGGCATTGGCCACTTCCTGATGGTAATCGTAGTCGTCCGCGCGCTCCTGCCAAGTATTCTCACCCGTAATGGGGTTCATCACGTGGGAAAAGCAGGACATTGTACGGATTGGCAATAAATATGTTTTCAACAAATTCTTGAACATTAAAACGCGACAGGCACCAGCCAGTGCTGCCGAATCCGCTTTTTTCCCGCAAATCTGGCTGTTTTTGAAGACCAGTTGTGTGAGAAATTGTTCGCCATGCGGGAACTCTGGAAATGTAAAAACACTGCTAAATAAATTGTTGCTATAAAATTGGTCTACACCCTTTTTTTTTAATTTTTTTCTGTAATTTTTAGCTGTTTTTGTCGTTTGTCCAACAGCTTTTTTCCGTTTAAAAATAGGCAGCACTAGCAACAGCTGTTCTCTCAGCGATGCCATCTACATTAAAAATCAAGCTATGTGGTAGCACTGCCTATGTCGAAATATCGCATGCATGACAGCGTTACGATGAACCCGATAGTTAAATTCAAAATAGAGTCATTGAGGTGTATTTGTACAATTTTATTATGAAGATTAATACTATTTTATGTTTAAATTACTCTTAAGTTATCTTAGAAGTCCTGGTCGAGTCGCCGCTTAACTCCTGCCATCAGTTTGACGCGATGGCGCAGTTGAAGGTGTCTCAGGCCGCAATTGCGTCCTATCGGAGTCTCGTCGTCACATGTTCTTGCCAAACACCTGTTGAAACTGTTTTTGTTGCCATTAGTGGCGGTTGGCACTATGGAAGCAGTGTTTCGGTTAAGTTCAAGCCAACAATTAACCATATAATCCAGAATTGCAATGCCTAGAACAAATAGGACTATACAAGCGGGATTTACGGGCAGATACGACAAAGAACTATCCATTGCGTGGTGTAGGTTTGGCGGGCGTCCTGATGCGAGTGATGTTCGGCTTCATAATGCATCGAGTATATATGCAGAACAGGTAGCTGTTCATTTTAGCTTTCTGCTGGTGTTGGATATATCAATTACCTGACTATTCATATATATGTACATATGTATGTGCATACCTGCAAGGGTAAACAGGCCACACATGCTTGGTAAGTAAACATAGCCATAAAGTGTTAATCTGTTTGTTTTGATCGTCTACCCTTTTATTTATTTTGCTTTACCTTCATATTTGTGTGAAAGTGATCAATTCATAATCGGAATCTTCGAATCTTCAAAACAATAATTAGCTAATTGTTCCTACATAATACACCCTACTGGAGGGAATTGCAGCAATCCAGTTGCACGTGGAGGCCCAAATAGAACAGTTCATTCGGAAAAGGACAATGCGGCGACTTTTTCTGCTGGATATCTTCCTGTGGTTTGGCGTTCTCATTGGTTTGACATCCTACAGGCTGGTCGATGATAGATTTATTCAAACCCGGCTAACCAGAGTGTACACGTTGATCGCCAACGTCATCACAGTGACAATGCTGCCTGTGGCTCTTATAGGCGCGGCCAAATTTATTTCCGTGGATGTCTGGCTGCCGAAGTTTATGTGGATCACTCCTTTCGTCCTTTATGCGGTGAATTACGCGGTCATCGTCCAAACTCTGTTCTCGCGCTGTCATCGGGACAGCATACTGATGGAGCTACACCATTTGACTGTTAAATTGAACCGCGAGAGTAGGCGAGCCGGAAAGCAGATCAATTCGAAGCTTCGGAGGCTGTTCTATATAAAGACCTTAACTATGACGTTTCTATGCCTGAGCTATTTTTTGGGAACGTTCCTGTTCACCGACAACGTTACTTTTACCATGAAGATGAGCGCCATTTTAATTAACAATGGCTATAACATCCTGATTGCCACCACACACTTATACTTTGTGTCACTCTGGCAAATTGCTCGAGGATATGATTTTGTGAACCAGCAACTGGAGGAGCTCATCTCCACACGGGCACCGCTCACACCCGGGTACACCGAGGAGCTGCGTTGTCTCTGGTCTATTCACGCCATCCTCAGCCGGACAGCGAACAAGATAAACAGGATCTACGGTCGTCAGATGTTAGCCTCCCGTCTCGATTATATTACCTTCACTGTAATCAATGGCTACATTGGAGCGATTTACTCGCGCAGTCAACCCACGCACTTATATCAAAAATGTTTTGGAGGCCTAATCTATTGGATACGGACGGTGGACTTTTTTATCACCGACTATATATGTGATTTGGTGACTGAGTACCAGAGCATGCCGAAGGACACCGTTAGCGAGGGCGTCATGTCCGACGAGGTACTTCCAAAAACTAATCCTGACCCCTCGGACACCACCTATAAAATTTCCATTTAATTTACAGCTGAGTTCGTTTGTGATCTACCAGAACAGCATGCATCTTAATTTGAAGGTTTGCGGTCTCTTCCGAGCCAATCGAAAACAGTGGCTAAGCATGATGGGAGCTATCATATGCCACTCCGTAATGCTCCTGCAGTTCCATCTGACGATGTCTGCTACAATAGCAAAACAAAACAAATAATAATAATACACGATTCTATCTATCCACTTAATGATTAATTGCTACGAATTCCAGATACGAATCAATTGAACATCATCACTAGACCTACCATCGAACAGAGCACTTTATTTTAGTTAACTAAATACGCAACGGGAATTCAGTTGAGCTTCGACACTGGCGGACAGAGCACCTGGTCATGTCCGATTCGCTAATTCAATTATATTTCGGCTATGCTCTGGCTATTGGCATAACTTCGAATCGATTCGTGGACTCAACCTTCAAGCAGACATTTTTCTCGAGATGCTATGCACTGGTCGTGAATATCGCTACCCTCGTGCTGACTCCACCTCTCTTTTGGGAATCACGGAATGGGTTTCAGGACGGTCAGTCCTATCCAAAGCTAATTTTGATTACCTTTCAAGTACGTTACCTGGTTGCTTATGCGGTCGTGTTCTATTCGGTATTGTCGCGCGGTTTTCGGGACAGAGCCCTAAAGGAGGTACAGCCCCTACTCACCAAGTTATTGCGCGAGGAAAAGCGCAATGGAAAACGGAGGCTCAAACGTTCCCTCCTACTGCCCTTCTACCTGAAATTCTTCACGGCGGCTTTCATGTGCTTGACTATTTTCGTATTCCAATTTGGCTCTGGCGTCGAATTGACTTGGAAGACAACAGCTCGAATTATATTTCTGAGTAATGTTCTCAACATCCTGGAAGTTGTGCCCATGGGCTACTTTTTGGCCCTTTGGCACATAGCCCGTGGCTTTGACTTTGTCAACCAACGGTTGGACGACATCATGGCATCCACACCCATTGATTTGAAGGAACTAAGAAATCTTTGGTCGCTTCATGCTGCCATGACCAGAACAGTGCTCAGGATCAACAAGATCTATGGGGTCCAGATGTTAGCATTTCGCTTCGATAACTTTATTTTCGGCGTTATCAATGCCTACTGGGGAACGTTCTTCAGCTTCCACGCCGACACGAATTTTTTATGGGTAGTGTTTGGCTCCGTCTCGTATTGGATCCGTTGCGTGGACTCGTATTTGATCGACCATGTGAGCGACTTGGCCATGCACTACCAGAGCTCACCAAAACATGCCTGGACCGAGAAATACTGGTCGAAAGAGGTATGCAGATTGAATTTATTTGTGAGAATTTATTTATAGAGAATTCTTTACCGCAGATCAACTCCTATGTGACGTATGTGAGCAGCTGCAAGCTACAGCTTCGGACTTGTGGTCTCTATCAAGAGAATCGAAGTCTATGGTTCGAAACGATTAGCAGCATTTTGTATTACTATATAATGCTCCTACAGTTCCATCTGGTTATAAAAAATTAATAGACAGGAGATAATGTTCTTTTCTATAATATTAAGTATTGTTCTCACATTTTCTTGAAACCGTCCAATACCTTAAGAGAATTTTATAAAATATAATTTTGCACGATTGGAAATTGCTGAAAGCTTTCTAACATTGGTGGATATCAGGAGGTAAGTGGGACCCCAATGGCTTCGTCAACATAGCCATAACGTGTTAATCTGTTTATTTTTATCAATTCAGCGACTGATTGTAAGATAACTATAATTAGCTAATTGCTCCTACATAATACACACTACTGGAGGGAATTGCAGCAATTCAGTTGCACGAGGAGGCCCAAACAGAACAGTTCGTACGGGACAGGACAATGAGGAGACTTTTGCAGCTGGATATCTTCCAATGGTTCGCCATGCTCATTGGCTTGACATCCTACAGGCTGGTCGATAATAGATTTATTCAAACCCGAATAGCCAGGACTTACGCGATGATCGTCAACGTCTTCACGGTGACAATGCTGCCTTTGCCACTTTCACGTTTGGCTTACTCAGTTTCGTTGTGCTTCTGGCTGCCCCGATTCATGTGGATTACTCCTTACGTTCTTTATGCGGTAAACTATGCTGTCATCCTGGAGGACCAGCAACTGGAGGAGCTCATTCCCACACGGGCACCGCTCACACCCGGGTAAACCGAGGAGCTGCGTAGTCTGTGGTCTATTCACGCCATCATCAATCGAACCAATCGAAAAAAGTGGCTCTGCATGATGGGAGCTATCATATGCCACTCCGCAATGCTCCTGCAGTTCCATCTGACGATGTCTGCTACAATAGCAAAACAATACAAATTGTAATAATAATAATACACGATTCTATTTATCCACTTAGTGATTGCTACGAATTCCAGATACGAATCAATTGAACATCATCACTAGGCCTACCATCGCACAGAGCACTTTATTTTAGTTAACTAAATAAGCAACGGTAACTCAGTTGAGCTTTGACACTGGCGGACAGAGCACCCGGTCATGTCCGATTCGCTAATTCAATTATATTTCGGCTATGCTCTGGCTATTGGCATAACTTCGAATCGATTCGTGGACTCAACCTTCAAGCAGACATTTTTCTCGAGATGCTATGCACTGGTCGTGAATATTGCTACCCTCGCGCTGACTCTACCACTCCTTTGGGAGGCACGGCATGGGTTTCAGGACGGTCAGTCCTATCCAAAGCTAATTTTGATTACCTTTCAAGTGCGATACCTGGTTGCTTATGCGGTCGTGTTCTATTCGGTATTATCGCGCGGTTTTCGGGACAGAGCCCTGAAGGAGGTACAGCCCCTACTCACCAAGTTACTGCGCGAGGAAAAGCGCAATGGAAAACAGAGGCTCAAACGTTCCCTCCTACTGCCCTTCTACCTGAAATTCTTCACGGCGGCTTTCATGTGCTTGACTATTTGCGTATTCCAATTTCACTCTGGCGCCGAATTGACTTGGAAGACAACAGCTCAAATTATATTTCTGAGTAATGTTCTCAACATCCTGGAAGTTGTGCCCATGGGCTACTTTTTGGCACTTTGGCACATAGCCCGTGGCTTTGACTTTGTCAACCAACGGTTGGACGACATCATGGCATCCACACCCATTGATTTGAAGGAACTAAGAAATCTTTGGTCGCTTCATGCTGCCATGACCAGAACAGTGCTCAGGATCAACAAGATCTATGGGGTCCAGATGTTAGCATTTCGCTTCGATAACTTTATTTTCGGCGTTATCAATGCCTACTGGGGAACGTTCTTTAGCTTCCACGCTGATACGAATGTTTTATGGGTAGTGTTTGGCGCCGTCTCGTATTGGATCCGTTGCGTGGACTCGTATTTGATCGACCATGTGAGCGACTTGGCCATGCACTACCAGAGCTCACCAAAACATGCCTGGACCGAGAAATACTGGTCGAAAGAGGTATGCAGATTGAATTTATTTGTGAGAATTTATTTATAGAGAATTCTTTACCGCAGATCAACTCCTATGTGACGTATGTGAGCAGCTGCAAGCTACAGCTTCGGACTTGTGGTCTCTATCAAGAGAATCGAAGTCTATGGTTCGAAACGATTAGCAGCATTTTGTATTACTATATAATGCTCCTACAGTTCCATCTGGTTATAAGAAATTAATAGACAGGAGATAATGTTCTTTTCTATAATATTAAGTATTGTTCTCACATTTGCTTGAAACCGTCCAATACCTTAAGAGAATTTTATAAAATATAATTTTGCACGATTGGAAATTGCTGAAAGCTTTCTAACATTGGTGGATATCAGGAGGTAAGTGGAACCCCACTGGCTTCGTCAACATAGCCATAACGTGTTAATCTGTTTATTTTTATCAATTCAGCGACTGATTGTAAGATAACTATAATTAGCTAATTGCTCCTACATAATACACACTACTGGAGGGAATTGCAGCAATTCAGTTGCACGAGGAGGCCCAAACAGAACAGTTCGTACGGGACAGGACAATGAGGAGACTTTTGCAGCTGGATATCTTCCAATGGTTCGCCATGCTCATTGGCTTGACATCCTACAGGCTGGTCGATAATAGATTTATTCAAACCCGAATAGCCAGGATTTACGCGATGATCGTCAACGTCTTCACGGTGACAATGCTGCCTTTGCCACTTTCACGTTTGGCTTACTCAGTTTCGTTGTGCTTCTGGCTGCCCCGATTCATGTGGATTACTCCTTACGTTCTTTATGCGGTAAACTATGCTGTCATCGTTCACACTTTGATCTGGCGTGGCTACCGGGACAGCATGCTGATGGAGCTACACAAATTGATTGTTAAACTAAACGGCGAGATGGGCCGAACCCAAAAGAAGACGAACTCGAAGCTTCGGAGGCTGTTCTATATGAAGACCTTTACTATGTCGTATCTGTGCCTGTGCTATTGTCTGGAAATCTTTCTGTTTGAAGACGACTACTCCATGATGCTCGACTCAATTCTAATTTACTATGGCTATATTATTTTGATTTCGTCCCCGCACTTATACTTTGTGTCGCTCTGGCAAATTGCACGAGGATTTGATTTTGTGAACCAGCAACTGGAGGAGCTCATCTCCACACGGTCACCGCTCACACCCGGGTACACCGAGGAGCTGCGTAGTCTGTGGTCTATTCACGCCAGCCTCAGCCGGACAGCGCACAAGATAAACAGGATATGCGGTTGCCAGATGTTAGCCACCCGCTTAGACTATGTTACATTCTCTGTGATCACTAGCTACACAGCAGCTATGTACTCGGTTACTGACCCAGGTCCTCTATTTGTTAAATACTTTAGTGTTTTCTATTGCATACGGACGGTGGACTTTTTTATGACGGACTATATATGTGATTTGGTGACTGAGTACCAGAGCATGCCAAAGGACACCGTTAGCGAGGGCGTCATGTCCGACGAGGTACTTCCAAAAACCAATCCTGACCCCTCTGACACCACCTATAAAATTTCTATTTAATTTACAGCTGAGTTCGTATGTGATCTACCAGAACAGCATGCATCTTAATTGGAAGGTTTGCGGTCTCTTCCGAGCCAATCGAAAACAGTGGCTCGACATGATGGCAGCTATCCTATGCCACTCTGTAGTGCTCCTGCAGTACCATCTGATGATGTCCGGCAAAGCCGAAAAGCAACAAAAAGCATAAATACTCATATTATTTTATGGTTCATTTAATGTTCTATTTTACATCCTAAACTTAAGCTAATATAGCAACTAGCACTGGCAACCTTCTTCATTGGTTTTGGCTGGGCCAAGGTACTGGCTTTTTTTAACCGTATTCGGTATGCACACATTTGAACCGCTTGCGGCCAATATTTGAACAACAACCAGAGCAAAATGTGTGCCGCTGCAAGAGCCAATAATTTCCTGCTCGATAATTTCCAAATGAATGCGTTCAGCAAATAAATTCTGCTTTGACAGCACTCAGAGATGAATTTAAAACGAAATCACGTTCTGCTGTTGCACACATACTTTTTGGCGTATGCACATCTGCTCTACGTACTCGTACGTGATGAAAGTTGTGTCATAAACACGGAAACCCCCTTCTCTGGCACCCGTACACAACTTAGTTGAGCTGCTGCTGCTGCTGCTACTGGAGCTGGAGCTGGAGCTGGCAGCAGGTGACTGCCAGGGTGAGCATCGGGGTGCATACTCGTAAATAAAATGAAATGAAATAAATCAAAACATAATTTTCGCAATAAATTTGGTTTTTACAAAACCCTGAATGCTGAATGCAAATCTAATTCCTTTCGCCCGGCAAAACGTGTATCGAAGTTTCGCACAACGAACGCTGCTTCACTTCTGTCTCTGCAATTTATAGTCGAGTTATGCAATTTCCTTTTGCAATCGGTTTATAAAACAAATCTGATTTTAAAAACAAGCGGCTACAAATACAGACATGCACACATACGGATTGTATACGGATTAAAGGTGATGTGAAAACTTGTTCAGCCATGAGCGAATTAAATTTCCAAAAAAAAAGAAGCATAATCCGACTTTGCTTGGTATTTAAATGTAATCCTTTCTTAGGGAATCTGTTTATAATAAAGTATTGAATTATTTTGCAAACACAGAAAACATATCTAAAGTATAATGATGAATGAATCTGTATCTGTACGGTGGAGATACATATTAACATGATTTGAATTGGCATCGAGACACGTCAACACAATTATGCTGGATAACAAGGGGCAAGATTTATTATGCCAGCGCAGTTTCTGTTTCCCGAATCGAGCAACAAACATGCACGTAACGGATGCGGCTGCTGCTCGTTCCGCCGGCGGGTAGGAGGGCGTGTCCCGCCGCTCCGGCAATTGTCAAAATCATCGCCATAACTCACGTGTTGCCAGCAACAGAAACAATCGAATGACAATCGGGAAGGGACAGGGACAGGGACAGGCACAGGGCCACAGGCAGAGTGAGTGGCTGTGGCAGTGGCGTAGTGCGGGGAATTGACAAATTCAATTGAAGCAGATTTGCTCAAAATGCAAATTACGCAATGACTTACATTCCGATTGACATATTTTAGGCGAACATTTTGCACTTCATTTCCATCCCGGGCGCGCGCTGTCGGTGCCGCCCTTTACGTGTTGCCAAAAGAATCTTTGATTTGCCATTGTCAATGCGAGCAGGCGTTTCGGGATGGATTTGAAAATTGTTTGATTTGGGCAGAAATCATTTCGATCGCTTATGAATTCCGATTGAGTATTCGTTGCATGACCAGGAGTGCCAAAGAGCTTTCAAATTGGATCAAATAGCTGGCTCAGAGCTGTGCAATTTCCAGCAAATATTTCTGAAGTTATTTGTGACTATACAGTTCCTTACTGAGTTTGACTGTTTCTTGAAATGAAATTCCTTATGGGAGATATCTGCCGGACACATATCCTAGCCTGGTCTGGCCTGGTCATCATTACTCTGGGCTTTTCCATTGCACAGCCTCGGACAGCATCACGGATCCGGTCATCATAAAAATGGCTGAAAGGACGTAAACGCGTTATTATATTATGCTTTTCAATGGCCGGCATCAGTCTGTGGCCAATGTCTTGCATACGAGCCACTTGAATGGGGGCCAAAGAATGCACAGGGCATTGTGCAATGGGGCGACCCAACACAATGGATGCCACCACGTCGTGAACACATCAATGCCAGAGCCGCGACATTGAATGGCTAGTGGCAGGCCAGGCACAAGCACAGGCGCGGAGCAGGACGCGGGCCAGACCTAGACACAGAGCCAGACCAAGTGGCAGTGGCAGTTACAGCCTTTGCCATCAATGCATCTTTGAGTCAACGCCAACAGGGAGAGAAGCTTCTGCTATTCAGCATTTCTTGTCTTCTCTGCCATGGCTCTCTCCATCACTCTTTATCTGTCGCCCTCTCGTTCGCTGTGCCGGAGGACATAAATTGGAAAAAATAACAATATGAAGGCCACATTTTTGAGATGTGTGCGCCCAATGGACGTGTATGGCGACCAAAAGTCAGCTCGGCTGAAGCACAGCTCTCCTAAAGATGGCAGCTCAAAACTTTTTAATGATGCCGCAAAGTCGGTGCACCAAGTTCGATGCCACAGGAGAAGGCATAGCACTTCAGAATGAAAAGAGGTACACGAGTAGATAGAGAAACCGAGAAGGAGATGCTGCAGCGACTTATTTGTCGTATAGTTCAGCCGAATGGATGGCACAGCTGTGAGACATTTGAATGTGGGGACTTGGCAAAGTGAAAGTTTTGAGCCCTTCTTCAATTGGTCTAAAAGTTCACTAAAGTTGACACCCATTCGGAAGGGGAATTTCTCAGATACTTTAAACTACATAAGGAGAAAACAACAGCATCTTTGGAGTTACAGAAATGGCTAAACTTTGTTTATTAATCATAAATAATAATTTGATTTTACTTTAAAGGTAGTAAGGAGAGCTCCTTAGCCGTAGAAGCCGTAATTGCCGCCGGCCGATGCAGATGCCGATGATGAGGCACTGGCACCGCCGAAACGCTGACCACCATAGCCGCCGGGATATCCACCGCCGTATCCGCCAAAGCCACCAGGAAATCCGCCGCCTCCAAAGCCTCCATAGCCACCATAACCGCCGGGATAGCCACCGTAGCCACCAAACTGAGGGGACGGCATCGCCTCCAGGACACTAAGGAGCGCGAAAATAACAACTACGAACACGATGGCTGCTTTCATTTTGCGTGCTTAGCTTAGATCTTTGCGTTTGAAACTGTCGTTGTCTCCGAGCTGTACGGCCTATTATATGAACGGATTTTTGGTTCAACAACCCGCTTGGCTGGTTCTGGAGACTGACCGAGAGAAGTTGGCCGAGAGGCGACAGGTGTGAGACAGCGGCCAAAAACGAAAACAAAATATGATTTGGCAAACTCCGCGCGAGCGTAATCAATCCCCCTGGGGTCTGTGATTGGACCCGTTTGTGGTCTAACCTTTACCAGAGCGTTCGGCAAAACAGAAACAAATTCACGCGTTTTTATTGTGGGATTTTGGGAATCACTCGGTCCGATTCGCTTTGTGTTCTGCAGCTTGTGTATTAGCGTACAATAAAATCCAAATACAAATAAAAATACAAATATGTATGCGATATATTGTCTGTTATAATTATATGTATAAAATTTCATTTGGCATTGTTTTTCGGCTATCACATTCGGCTTAGTCACACGCAACACACACTTTTGTATCGTATTTATTTGTATTTATTATACATTATGCTAATCGAGCCGGTCATTAATGAGGTTTCTATTCGAATCGCTCTCGGCATCTAATGCTTCGATTTTGGACAGCGACATCCCTTGAAATTGATTGTCTAGCCTGGATAATGGCATTTTTATGCGCAAATATTAAATGTTTACGTGTGTTTCTATCATTTGTATTTTGTTTAACTAAATAAATTGGCAAATATGTACGTATTTTGCATGCTTACATGATATTTATGAGTGTCGGATCTTCTGATTGATTATATACGAGTATCCCAGGAGATGGCATTTACTGTTTCATCTACTCGAAGATTTCACTTTTCTTCCATATATACTCGAAGTTGTCATCTTTCTTTAGCTTTTCGCTTCACTCTCTGAAAACCACTTTTTGGAGTGGGTTTTTAGTGGGATTCACACATGATACAATTCGAATTGAAATATAATAATAATTATAATTGATTTGTAGCATCTGAAACCACATCAACACCTTCGATTGTGTACATATTCAAAATAATTTTAGTAAAGTCAATAACCTGACCTTGGTATACTCATCTTCTGGTTATATTCTATTCCAATTCAACATCTTGGAAAGTTTGAAGACGTTTTGTAAATAGAGAATTGCTTTTGTTTGCCATTCCAGCCATTCCGGTTGATAAACCTGTTCCCTATTGTATGATCAGTTTATTGATTGTCACCCTTTTAGACGTTCTCAAATTAGCTCATTGCTGTGAATCACATCTTATACCTGAAAACTTTAATAAAAATGACTCGAATCTTTTGAACTTGTGGTAGATCATGGCGTATAATTCGGTTCGATTTCGGGTATTTTCCAGATCAATAACACTACCGCAATGGACTTTTTTTCCCAGGATCCAAACCGACTTTCTGATGTAGGGGCTTTAAATTTTTAAGAATGGTTTTTTCGTTTTTGGATTTTTTTTTTTTTCAAGGCGGTTTCCATACTGATTACGCTGGTTGTGACTTTGCTTTGGTACAGCTAGTGCCCCACTTTGTGATTACAGCTACCGCTGGCGGCGGTTGGGGTTTACGTTTGCATTAAACCGGGCGATAATGGCCTCATTTTTTTGTGTATAGGTGCGTTTGGCGGTTTAGGTACGCCATTCTTGGGAGACTTGGGCTAAATTCGTTAACCAAACCTAAATTGGGACAAAAACCTTTTGGGCGGCGGGCCCAACTGCCAATGGCGGAACGCGCGGTACCAAATGTACAACCTGTCGTAATACCCCACACATTTTCTTTCAATGTTATATTCCCAGACGGTAGCTAAATCACAAAGTGTTTGGCATCAACTTCTGCTGCGCTTTCTTTCAATGCGTTCCCGCGTTCTGTTGGCGGCCTGGTCGTCGGCCAACCATAGCCCCACTGGCGGTCCGGCGGTGCTAGTGTAATCAATAATTTCCAATACTCGATTCTCCTCTCAAATATCTCGACAGTTTGACATTGGATTAACTAAAAAACTAAAATTCTACGTAGATAATCATACAATTTATAGACAAAACATGAAGAAGGATTCCAGAATGTTGGTTAGCCACTATGACACCATTACATATCGTTGCAATAAAATTCTCTCCGGAATGTGGAACTTAATCTGCAGTGGCAGCTATCCGACGGATGCACTGATCCGATATGGTGGCAGGCTGGTTGCCATTGGTGAGCCCTATGCGGTATTTCAATCAGAGATCGAACGCGACGACTTTCTTGCTGTCTTTCGTAGCAAGGAGGTCATGTTCTGTCAGAGCCTCAGGATCAAGTCCATGCAGGAATTCGAATGCACCGATACCAATGGTATGACACGGATAATTGTAATCGGGCACAGTCATCTGGTTTGTGTGAACTATGCATTCCGAATGGTGGACGAGCTGGTCGAACATTGTACAAAAACAAGAGTTGGTCCCAACAAATTTTCGGCCTTATATTTCGCCAATATAGAGATAGTTTTGAATAAGCTCAAAACGGGCTGTGGATTGGCGCTTAGTTCGAATATTCTGGTGGTAATTGCTGCGGCTCTGTTTCTGATTGTTGTGGTCCTGCATTGGCGCTAGGAATGAAATAAATATTCCCCCTTTTTAAATGCCCCATGAAATGTATCCATCAAATTGTGACATATTTTGACAGTACTCAAACCTAAAGATGCTGTCAGTACACAAATCTTTTTCCTGTGTCGGCATGGAACTTAAGAAGCTGTCATTGAGATCTCCACTTCCATCGTCTCTGGCCCTGTGTCAACGATCGCATCGCGTTTCCCTTTCATCTGACAATGTTGCCCTTGTGTCATGTGTGTGTGCCACATTTGTGAGAGGGGACCTTACCATTGGATGCGTGTAGAAGCATCTGTGCGGAGCTCTCATTCATTAGTTTCCTCTCCTTATAAATAATTGCTTTTTAACAGAGGCAAAAATTATCACCTAATTATAGAGCACGACACTGGAGATTCCAACGCGTGGCATTGTAGGGAAATTTTGTTTATATGTTGATATTGAAATATGGTTAGTTAGGTGATAAATGGAGGAATTTACTAGGAATACATAGGGATTTAGCTGTGGCTAAACTCTGGTTAAGGTAAGTAAATCCAATTTCAAAAGGAACCTTCAGCAAAAAAAGAAATTAACAATTTTAGAAAGGGCAGGATTAAAAAAAAACTGTTTAATCAACTCTAGCCAAAATTGGTTTCTTTGAAATATTACCTCGATTTATGTACACCAACTGGGCTGTCCAATTCAAGATATTCCGAATTGGTCCTTCAGGTGAGTGCTGTATGCAATGAATGCCGTATCTTTGAGGCTGCTGGAGAATGGAGCCGAGCAGATATTCACATAGCTCCATACTCATTGCTCTGGCATTTCCGTTTGCCATTTGATTTGACAGGACGCTCCTCTCTACAGTGTGTGTGTGTGTGTGTTCCATTCCTGCCGTCTTTCTGTGTGTGTTGGCCCATAAATTTGTGTGTTCTCTTTTGTGGAGCGAAGCACTTCTGCAACATGTTTGCCTGTCAGCAAATGTCGTCCTTCTCGGCAACAATTTGCCGCATCGCAGAAGGACAAAACGCATTTTTCCAACGCTCCCGTTCCTGCTGTTTCTGCTCTTCCTGCTCCTCAAACATTATTGCAATTTGGTAAATATTGTAAAAATGTTTTACGCTCTGAGTGCCCCCATCGCTTTATGCAAATTAGTCTCAGAAACGATTCCACATTCCGAATGTTAATTTGCATTTTCCACTGTTGTTCACCGCTCCCGGCTTGTTTGGCTCTGTCATGTTTGGCCTGCGGATAAAAGGGGAATTTTTATTTGCATTTAAATATATTACATACTTGTTAACCTTTTCCATCTAGCAGCAATGGATGGGGATGGGTGTGGGTGTGGGTATGGGTATCTCCCACTGGATGCCTGGAATGGATGGGAATCTGCCACCACTTGCTGCCTCTGTTGGATGTCCTTTTGAGTTTTCCTCCATGACTATTGGGAATGCGCTCGTGTTGAGTATTTTTCCTTGGATCCTTGAGCTACACAATGCAACGCAGTGCTCATTCTATGGTACTGTATTTTATTTGTGCTGCCAATCTGTCTTTTTTAATTGCGGCGAAAGACCGGCTTGCCCGCAATCTTAATCTACTTTGATTGCGGCTACGCCATGCCAACGTTTGTGGCTTTTCCACAATGTTTTCCTGACTCTCTCCCTTGCCCATTGTCTGTGTTTGTGTGGGTGAGGGTGGTATCTCTGTTGCTCCTCGTCTGCTTATTTGTTTTGACTTTAATTAAGTTTTATTAAACAAATTAACACATGCGGGTGAAAAATCACAAGCACACACACACACACACACACACACAGATATGAACATAACCCTTGAGTTGGTCTCGGTCTTGTGTGTGTGTTCCTGTGGATATACATATTTAATTAAATCATATTACTAAGTAAATAATTAAATAAGCCATGTCAATTACATACGCCACTGACAGTTTAATAAATGGAAAACTTTTGCATATTGAGTAGGAGTAAATTGCCTGTAGCTCAACAGGATGAGGAATTCCGTCCAAAGTGCACAAAGGATGATGGTATTGCGTGCAGTCAAAATGTAGCCTTGAAACCAACGAATGATATGGATATCTGTACAAATTAAAGTGGAGTGCTTAAAGCTTGAAACAGGCTATTCAATATTAATGCACGATAAATAAGGAATGCCAATAATAGACGATAACAATTGCTGAATAATTAATTTTAAAGTGTCCTGCAATTAACAGAATTTCCGCGAGGGATTGAGAGGTTAAGCCGGAGTAGTCATAACAGCTCCTAAAGCTTAATTAAAACTAAACTCATATCTTTAAAGTATTCCCCAATGGAAACATCAACGAACAGTTTCTTAGAATCTTTTATATGTGTATATTTTAGTTCTCTTCAGTATGTCACATCTCATTTGGCATCGTATAAATATAAATATTAGTCAGGTAGGTGAATATGTTATTTTTTAATACATTTTTAAACATTAATGCAATTTAGCTAATTGAAATACACACATGTGAGTGCACAAAGTAACCTCATGGGGCCCATTAAACGTCTGCCATTGCCATCGTAATCGCTGTCGTCATCACAGCGGCGGATAAGCATTCTTGGCATAGTTGGCTGCCACACAATAGTTGGTGGCCCCAAAAAAGGAGCACATTCCGTTGCCGTTCGAAGGATTCGCACCGAATCCTGCGTAGCAGTTCGTGTAGTTCTGGCACGAGCGCAGCTCCAGCGGCGCAAAGTTTAGGGCATATGCCCCGGGCGGTGGTGGTGGTGGCGGTGGGTGGCTCAAATTCGCATATTTGTGCATGTTATTGCTGAGGGGCGCTGGCACCAGTTGGGGTGCATTGTCCAGCAGCGGGCGGGCGCCCACGCTACGTTCGTTGCGTCGGAATTTGGCACGGCGATTCTGAAACCAGACCTAAAAGCAGGTGTTCAAAGTTTTATTAGTACTAAAGAGCTAGTCAATGAATGATGGGGGGCTATCGGTAGAGTAAACTTAAAGTATGGCGATGTCTGATAGTCTACTAATGGTTATTAGGCTTTGACATTATCCATAGCATTGCCAAATCTCTAAATGGCTAAAAAGTCGCCTAATCTTAGGGCTCTCTTCAGTTTCTCTCACCTGCACTCGTGCCTCGCTCAGATGCACCTTGGTGGCCAGCTCCTCGCGCACAAACGCATCCGGATAGTGGGTTCTCTCGAACACCTTCTCCAGGGCCGTTAGCTGGGCAGAACTGAAGGTGGTACGATTCCGTCGCGGTTTCCTCGAGTGTCCCGTCGAGAGATTGCTGGTGCAACCACTGGGGCCGCCACCGCCTGCAACGGAAGGGAGTGCAATCAAGAAGCCATTAAATGAATGAATTTTCTTATTTAGTTTAGGGTTTTGGGCTGGAGGTGAATGCAAAATCCGGCTAACGGACGGACGAATGCAGGGGCGCGTCGTAAATAATCGATAAGTGCCAACGGATATCAATTAATTTGGCAGCAGCCCCAGCCCCAGCCAAGAAATTTCGTTACTTTTATGGGTTGTCGAAAACACATAAAATTTTGCATTCCGTTTGATCCTTTGGCTGGGGGGTGCTGGGTTCGTTGTCGGCCATGGGGGCAGCTATAGCAATGATGGGCGGATGGTCGGATGGGGAGAGATGTGGGGGTCATAAACAAATGGCATGAACCATAAAATATCTTTTGACGACATCGGCGGACAGCTGTATACTAATTTTCACGTTGGTCTCCTGCCCCTGCGCCTGTCCCTGCCCGACAATCCAACCAACAAGAGCTAACAAATTTACGATCTATTAATTAAAGTGAAATTGTGACATTAAGCGGTCGTAAGCGAGCTCTCTAGCTCTCTAGCTCTCTATGGGCTACCGTTAATTGATTTTCCATTGAATTTTCTTTCTTTTGGAAATCGTTTTACGAAATATAATTCTCTTTCTATTGAAAAAATCTATTCTGGTTATAATTGGGCAAGGCGCCGCCGACACACGATGCAAGCGTCTGGCATGACTTTATACAGAAACGGTTCATATTCCTCAAAGGAATAATTATTTGGCACAGTAAAATTAACATATAAGCTGTAGATAATGGAAAACTATTTATGTGCCATACATTTTTCCGTTTGATAATTGAAATTGTTGGATATATTCGGATTTTAAAGGCTATTCATTTTCTTCTGACCAGAGAGTGTTAATGAAATGATAATCAATAGAAGTGATCTATTTTAGAAATTGATAATTCATAATAATTGCTTATTAATCGTTTGTCTCCATGGACAATATATACTACATATACTACATATGTATATGCTTTGGCCTTACTCTCTTCTATCTATGGAAACCTTAGGATCTATTCACTCTCTTCGAATCTGCTGATTTCTCCTGATTTCCAGTTCGTAGCCAGCCAGGTCTTGTTCTTGCTTCAGGGTGGCCCACCGTCATGACTGTCCCCATCAACATCCAGAGTACTGCTCCTACCCACGCCATTTGTCTCAATTTGTCAGCAAAGCTGTCCACAAAGTTGGGAATGCATCGTAGATCAGCCTGGAGTACTCCACCGAACCAAACCAAACCATACCAAGTAAGTGAAAACCACCGAAAGACAAATGCACAGCAGCAACCCATGTCCCTGGGGAGTGTGAGCGATGGGAGGAAGATCTTTAATTTGAATTGCCAACGAGCGATAAAAAACAGTTGCAGCTTAATAAAAAACCAACAAATCGAAAGGGAAACCTCAATCAGATTTCCCTGGGAGATATACTACATATGTGTATGTAGAGAGAGGGGTACTGAACTAGGGATGAGAGCGGCATCATGTTAAAATCCAATGGAGCGACGAAAATAAACGCAGAGCGAACAGAACAGAACGCTGGGTGCGTGCTCCGTCTGGGAATGGTTACATCGGTACATCGGGCCCTGGCGTTTTATATGCTCCACTTGGAAATTATAGTCGTGGCCGCTGCCGCTGCCACTGCCGTCGTGCGGTGGGAGGGGAACAGCCTGCCCGTACCCGGATCCGTCCTCGGACCGCTTCAAAGGCATGCGGCCACTGAGGGAATATCATGTCAGCTTTGATTACGTTTTGTCATGTTGACAATGTTGAAGTGTTGTCGGCTCGGAAATGTTTCCTCTGCCACAACAAAAAAGAAACGAAAGAGAACACCATCCAGCAGAGTGAGGGAAAAGAAAGAAAAAAGTTTATGAGAATTGGTTACAAATTGGAAGAGTTTCGCGCTTTTTTTTAGTTTGTGTTCCATAAGAGCAATTTCACTAGGTTTTCAGTGTATATCATGCTGAATATGACAACAGGCAATATGCTGACAGTTTTGATTGTGGGTTGCATGGAGGTGTACGAGTGCACACAACCGCAGCTGAAAAAGTGCATGAAGATGACATTGTGAGGCATAGATGTGCAAATGTCGCCCACATCTGGCACCTAATTGTCATCCATGAGTGGTCCACACAGCACGCACAGCACAGCCCAAAAAACCACACATTCAAGTAGTACGAATATTTATAAAGATATATATGTATGTATGTATGTATGTATGTATGCATTTATATGTAGCTATGATTATGCACTTGTGTGGTTAACGTCATAAAGTCACAGCCTCTCAGCTGGCAGCGCAAATTAATTTATCATTTATGAATTAGGCCGAACACTCGCGTTAAGTCTCACAAGTAGAATACCTGCCTGGATTTCTGCGGCAAACACCTTTGCCACACACATATCTACATAGATATATAGGTAACATGAGGGAATTGTGGCAAATGTCATCCACTTAAAGTTTAACGAACATAACTATGAATCGGTTTAAGGTGCATTATGTGGAAGTCCCGCAGAGTTTACGTCTGGAGAAATTTTACAAAGATAAGCTCAAGAGATTTATTTTATTGAAAAGCAGATTACACAAAGATGACCAGAACTTCTTTCACCGATCTTTTATGTATCCGAAACTCAATATAGAACTTCGACTCACCGTAATTGTTACTGATTTCCATGGAAAGCTTGCCCTTGGCATAGGCATCGTGCTTCAGTTCGATGAGATTATCCACCGAGAATCGATGCATTTTGTCCAGATCCCTGGCAGTGCCAGCGCGGTCGTGGAGTTTGTCCTCAGCATCGAGATTGTGCGATGGATAGGATTCACCGGCGGATGTCAGGGCATGTGATCCCGTCGGGCCGTAGTAGAAATTGCTGTTTGTGCCGACGGGCAGCGAGTGCAATTGTGGCTGATAGTTCAACATGGCTAACGAATGGAATTCGGACTTTCACTTTTCAATCAATTTGCAGAAACACTTTCGACTAATTGCAGATTGATATTGGTTAGGGGAATTCAATTGAATTTTAAGGTCAAACTGAATTCTTCAGTTGTCAGAGCCAATTGAGCGATGATTGAATTAAATTCCTGTATTTGCGCTCGCCAAGATTGGGGGCATCCTGCGCGAACTTGGTAATTGGATTAGCACACAACACATAAACGAGTTAATTACGATAATTGTCGCGACGATACTAAACCGTGCCAAAGTCGTGTGCCCACTGAAATTAGCCTCAAAATCGAAAGAGTGTGCGCTCGCCTTGCCTGGCCTCGCTCAACGATCCAACGATCCCAAGATCTTAAGAACACGAAACATATGTCTGCTAGATCTTTGCTCTCGTTCTGACTGCGCCTAATTATAGCCGCCACAGATCTACCATTGGTCGATGTGTCTTGCCTTTCGCTCTCTTCCATTGCGTATCCGACATTTTGGGGGCGTTGCCGGTGCATCGTCGGTGGTGTATGATGCACGAGTATGTGGAAAATTGTTTGAAATACGAGGTGAAAAGTAGCAACAAGTTTTGGGCATTTAAGTAGCAATAAATACCAATTAGCCGAAGGGTTTGTCCACACAGCTCCCATTGTCCTGGCTGTCAACACAGCCACCGACCGACCGACCATGTGTTGTGGCGTTGCTCCAGTTTCAGTTTCGGTGCTGGTGCTGGTGCTGGTGCGGGTGCTGGTGCGGGTTCTGGTGCCCTCATTCAGGAGCACAGGATGTGCATCTGAAGTAGTTTGTGCAACAACAGGGCATAAATCTTGGCACGCACAATGTTTGTCATCTTTCCAGAGCTAATTTCCATAACCACAACATGTTGTTAATTTTGCCCGAGGCGAGTGGATGGATAAGGATGCCATGCTGACAGTCGGAAGGCAGGATGGAACTGCTTAGCTAAGTGCATGTCTCTGGATCCTTGGGATTGTTCAGCTGCGTGTTGTCTATACCTCGATAGGTGTCTCCATCGGGTTTTGCGTTTCTGTCAATCAATCTGTTTGCTTCCAGTTATCGATGGCGGTGTACTCGTATGTACGCATATTCAATATAAATATGTACCATGGATTGAGCTCTAAAACATACATGTCATGATTCCAATCAGTTTGGTTAATTTTCCAAATGTTTGTGACCTTAACTATGCCATCACGAAAAATGTATGACTTTAATCCACTATTTTCATGACAAGGTTTTATTCTAGACCTAACTAAACCCGCAACTACCCAAAAAAAAAACCCAAACTCATGCTCATTAGTCGACCAGGCATAAGCACGCTATTAATATTCTAATATTGTTGGCGTACTCTCACTTTAGTTGGGCTTGGAGAAAATGCTTACATACATTTTCCTTTCCAAATTGAGCTGTCACAAAAGTTTAACCAAACTACTTGACACTTCGCTGCTGGTTTTCGGCTATGTTCCCCACCTGCTACAGCAGCAGGAGCAGAAGCAGGAGCAGGACTCAGACTCGTCCGGTTCGCTTCTACTAAATTATCTCACGTTTTCGTGTGCGAAAAGTTCTTGAGGAATGTTGCGGCGTGTATTTTTAATAAAACTTCAAAGTTTTCTCTACTCGCTACGCTTTACTCTATGTAACCCGCAAACGTTTTTCTTCCCTGGCTCAATTTTCCCTCGCTTTGCAGTTGCTGCACTGCTGCTCTGCTACCACTTTATTCTTTCGCTTTTCGTTGGAATTCTTTGTCACGAAGCATTTCTCGCGTGGTGCTGGTGTTCTGCGGGTGTTATCCGTGTAATATGGTTACCCGGGCAAACTTTCTGCCGGTGAAATTCTTCTGGCAAGTCAGAATTTGAGGAGACAGTTTTAATGTTGTCAGATAGCGGGAAAGTAACTAAACTTGTCAGGCTCGTAGTGGGACCAGGATGAGCTCAGGTAATGTCGATTATTATGTGATAAATATGTAAGTACATACATATATGTATATACATATGTGGCATTGATGGTTTGGTGTACTGCCATATTTTCAGGCAATTGCAACCTATAGTACATCAGTCGTACATCATTCATGAGATTGGCTTAACCAGACTGACAGCTCTCCTAGTTGCCAGCACACATTTAACAATTTCAATTTCCTTTGAGCAGCTCTGAGTGCAGGAGATTTGCCAAAGTTCCTTTGAAGTTCATGTTGTTTGTCGAGAAAATGAATTTCACTTGACGGCGATTATGTGGCAACCGTTTAAAATGTTGTTCTTTTTGTTGCTGCCATCGCGAAAGTTTTGTAAAACATTTCCGATGTATTTCAGAATATTACCAAACCGACGTCGAACCGGAACCGAACCGCACAACCAGCCATTGGAATATCAAAGAGCTACAGCACCGTCATGCATCCCAGTCCCTGTTCCTGTCCCTGTCCCTGTCCCTCGTCTGTGTCAAGGGTGTCGTCTAAGCCCAAAATGCCAGACACGAATGGCACACGCTCTCTGACAGTATCAGAGAGAGGGCTGGGGCGGGGGCGTTGCTCCGCAAAGGGCTACAAGGGGTGCAAAAGTTTTGCCTAAATCACTTAACAGAAAACAAGTGTTGGCATGTGCCCCGCTCTGTCGGACTTCCTGCCCCTCTGGAGAAGTCGCTCTCTCTGAGCTTCAGTCTCGTCGCTCTTCCTTTCCGCCCGGCAAAAATATCACAAAAGTTGTATATAGTATGGGAACTTTTGTGGTACCCACTAGAGGGTCGAGCGTAGCAGGTCATGTTGAAATAAAGGAAATCGACTGAAATAGCTAAAGTATTCAGAGTATTTTCAAAGTTTGACTAATCTCAGTCATTTAATTTGAGCCGCTGGTGAAATAACTCTAGCATTTACAGGGTATCTATCAATTATGCTTTTAGTTCTTAGTTTTGTCGTGTGACGTCCACGAATGTCTGTGGGTATCAGCAGGCACAACAGTTGACGGCAAATGAAATATAATATAAAGAAAGAACAGGAAGCATTAGACAGGCGTAACTTTTGCCTGATTTGCCACGCCTACTACACATTTTCGGCTGCCCACGGCCCAATTTTTAGGGCCATTGCGTAAACAGAAAATCAATTACAGGGTGCATACAGGAGAAGAAGGTTGACAGGCGCTCTGTGGTGGGCAGCACCGAATGGCAGGCTGAATGGTGTGGACTATTGTGATACCTAGTAGCGAGTACTGTTCGGAGGTTCAATATTGTTTTGTATTCTAATCTAAGGATTTGTTACCCCTTAGGTGATTTTCGTTCTTCTAATGATAGTTTATTATTCGGGACAACTATCTGGCGGACACAATATAAATACTAAAATATTTATCTCAGTGCTAAAGTTTGAGGACTGGAATCGGAACTAAAGCTAAAAATAATTATGGCTGTGCTGCCCGTTATAAACTTTTCAACCAACTTGTCACTCCCGAGCTGAAAATCGGTCGGTAGGGTATGGCAATGTAAAGGGGGATTTACATTAATTACGGCACGCAAAAGCTTCTTGACTTTTAATATGACATAGGCCTGGTAACGTGCACTTTCTGCTTCCCTAGCTTCCGATTTTTTCTCTCTGCCACCATACAAAATGCATGAATATCTTATACCCCAGAGTAGCAAGTGGCGTCGGGTGGCCAGGAGAAGGGCCAAGTTTTTAAAGCCTTGTTGAGAGAGCTTCGGGCCTCCCCTCCTCCAGGCCGCATTCCCGGTCAGATGTCCATTTAGACACTTACACAAAGACGAACATAGAACGTATGCCCAGCAAGGAAGTCGGGTCAGTTTGCGGCATCAATTTTTCAAAGCTTTGACTAACGCCAAAATGTTGAGTAATTTTCGATTTTTACTTCTTGTTTCCCTCTTAAATGGTTTGCATAATTCATGCATTTTTTTATGCCAAACATTGAAATTTTGTTCTGTTCTCTGGTCCACACTTCACTCACTTCTCGGCCTCTCCATTGAATATTTATTCAGCTGTGATTGAAACAGATTACTGGCCCCGAAATGGTTTGCCAATTGTTCGGCTGGGCCATTGCGTTCGTTTGCCCAACTTTTCATCTGCTTAATGCATTTAAATTAGTATTTTCGGTCGTTCGTCCTAGTGAATGCCTCCAGGACCTTGCCGATTCGTATCTGTGTTCGTTCATCAGTTGGTATGAACTTTGTGCTAGGAATTGTAATCATGTTATCGTGTTGCATGCAGCAGCATAGAGAGAGAGAGAGTGAGTGTGATAGAGGGATCAAAAAACCAACCACAGAAGACGAAAAATACCACAAAATGTGGTCACTAAACCACATGCCCCGCCCTCCTTCTGCCACATTATCCATACGTGCTGTGCGCTTCCGTTCGGCCCGAATTTATGGGTAAAAATTGCTTGCAACTGAAAAATGGATTGCTTCGTAGACCTCTAATTGGATGCCAGCGCAACGAGCTTAAAAGGTAAAGCAGTAAAAAGAATTGTTTTAATTTTCGAGGAATGAAAACTGTTGTCGAAATATGTACCATAATGGAACAGTCTTAATGATGTTTCCTGTACGCGTATAAGCTCTCATCGAATTTCAATAATTTCTTGCGAATCACTTTCGACAAATTGTTCGTGAGAAATGACATTTTGTTGATTGAACATTTTCAATCGAGCACTCCGCTGTATTGTATTATCGTTGTACAGTTGTCGCTCAGTGAGTTGCACAGTCAGCGCCATTTAAATTTCACTCACGATTTTACCCGGATGAGCATTGCACTGTGCTTCTGCAGTGCTTCCAAGCAAACAAGCAAGAAAGAAATTACGCGAATTGAAAATCAACGGATGCGAAACGGATGTACGGGTACTCAGAGCCAGCCCAGCCCAGCCCAGAACGGGCTGCTCATCGTCCTCTGCATCCGTCTTCTGCAGCTGTCAGTTGGTAGGAAAAACTGTCACTGCAATCAGATGCAATTAGAGCTTCCAGTGCCTTATCACAACGACAAAAAGGACGGAGTTCGGCAAACGAACTCGAATGGAAATTGAAAACAAAACAAAACAAAACAGCGAAAGTGATTCCGTTGCCATACCAATCTCTCTATCCCTCTGCCCCATTAGTGGATGTCACTGTTGTCCTTGCAAACATGTTAGCTGTGTTAGGCCTTAAATCAATCCATTTCATTTGATTTGGTCCAAGTTTTGCAGGGAGAAGTGTCGTAGCAAAGGCTGGAAATGGAATTACCGTAATGTATAAAATGGCGTGAAGCTCTCAGATATAGATTCTTTTGAAGGTAAAGCTATTATTTCTTCTAAAGAAAAGGCAGGTCTTTGGAAAAAATCATGGTTGAACTTCTAAAAAGGAAGAAGATTTGAAGTCTCTTCAAATATTGGTCTGCGCAACACTCATCCGAATATCAAAGAATAATCTTATTCTTGAAGGGTATTCCATGAAAATATGAATGGATCTGTGCTTATCTCTTCCGTGGACTCCGTCCTGCCCCGTCACACGGCTGAGTTGCACTTCAGAGCTGCATTGCCAGTGCAGCTGTCACATTGATAAATAAGATTGCGACCACCAGTTGTAGTGGACAGAGGCAGACAGGCTCATTATTTTAAAATTCACTTCGAGCTCCGTTCAGAATGAAGCCATCCATACATGTACTCGCACAATAACCGACTCCGCTGGATGCAGGCCCAAAAATTAATGAGTGGGTGTGCTGCTCATAGCCCGAAGTTACACACAGAGTGAAGGACATAAATCAAGGGAAAAGTTTTTTGCTGCGATCCTTGGGATACCTCGTATTTCATGCAAGGGATTCCTTGGATACCTTGGCGAAAAGCCACACGGCGATGGATTAGAGCAGGTCGAGATGAAATACGGTCCAGAAGCGTGAGCAGATTTCGGGGCGCACAGCTTTATGGGCGACCATATAAAAGGTGTGTTGTTCTTTCCCTATATCTTCTTGTTGCTTTTTATGGCCCATACGTAATACCACCGTCCCTGCCCTGAATGTCCATGCGCCCAAGTGTCGTTGGGCTGCCCGAAGTGAGCGTTAGATGGCGCCAGGTGTGTGTACAGTGTACACTGTACATTAAAAGCCATAAAAAATTCATAAAATGCAGTTCACACGCCAAAAACAAAAAAGACCGCAACATATCCACAAATACGAGTACAGTGCATACGATTAATGTACGAGGAAAGCATCCAACCAGCAGTGTGTACACAAAGCATAAATTTTAAAGTCCATAAAGAGTGTTTACGAGACCCGTAACATGTGAGAACATATGAGCACATGAGCTCAAAACCCATCCAAGTGGCGAAATCCTACTCACCTTATAGAGCACATCATTACAGATTAAGAACTAACCTTGAGCCTCTTGATAAAACCCTTACGAAAGTTAGTTTTGAGCACTCTGAGGGATAGCTCATGTACATTCTTTTTTATTTGAAAATGCGGTGGAGGGGCTGGTATCAAATATTTTTCGCTGAAAACTTAATATTTCCCAGTTTAATTCTGATTGTCAATTTAGTTCGTCTCAAGGCAAACGAAATGTCATCTTATGGCTCACGTACGCGACATTTGCCAATTGCTGCGAAATTGCACACAAATTATATCAATCTCGCAGCGTAATCATTGAAAACTTATCAATTTTGCCCGAGACCCAGCCACAGATTCTGCTGCCAGACAGACATCCGACATCGCCGAGAGATGTTGTAAAAATGTAAGAAAATCAAATATTTATGATTCCGAGTATGTTTGAGCACAATTTCGCTGCTGTGGAAGCTGGTAACTGGGGCCTGGCCTGGCCTGCGGCAAAAGTAAACTACAAAATTTTTTCCTTTTTCGGCTGCATTTCCGTTTGCGTTGGCATTTGGATTTATGAGCGTGGCGTTTGAAAATTCAATTTAATTTTCATTTTTTCGTGCTGTTCCGCTGCTGCTTTTGCTGCTGGTGCTGGTGCTGCTGCTGTCTCTGTGCTCTGCTGCTGTGGGATTTCCTATGAATTTTTGAGCCTCTCCTCCTTTGCATATTTTGTAAGTTATGGTTAGCCGAGAATTGTGTTAGCTGTGGCGGGATACAGATTCCTCTGAGCCGCGAAAATGTTATTTTTTTTCTTTCTTTCTTTTTTTTACGAAATTATCTGCATTGGAGGCCACATTTGAGCAGTCCTAAGATTTGGTTTTTATATCCTCGAAGCAGAAGGAGCGTATAATAAGGAGCTCTTGTATTCTGGGGATATCCAAAAGATCTGTCTACATACATATCTTAATGGAATAAAACCCATTTGAAGCATATATTTATCTACATATATATATTTGTATGTACTTCAATTGCCACAGCCATCTTCTGTGCATTCTGTGCATGCAATATGCCAATTTGATTCCTGTTCAATCGATAAACTCCATTGATGCTAAGAATGTTTCATTGTTAACCTAACCATCCTTCCCATTTCCCATTTCCATTCGCATTCCCACATCAAGTGTTTCCTCTCCGATGCTGTTAGTTTTAGCTGTCGAGAGCTTGGAGAGGAGTAGCAGCAGCAGCAGCAGCAGCAACTGGCAATGCATTATGCTAAAATGGCTCTAGTTCCATCCGTTTCTCCATCTATGTATCTGACTATGTGTCTGTCTGTCTGTCTGTCTGTCTGTCCATCTCGTTCTCTTGCTGCCTGTCCCGATGTTGGCGCTGCATATTGTGCCCCGGCTGTCGGGAGACGGATTAAATTGCGACTTATGCTAAGCGGATGGGACTGCGAGGGCAAATTGAATGGAAGCTCGTTTATTTTGCCCGTCTTGCGACAAAGCATTGATGCTGTCACTGGATTTGTCACTGTCTGTCGAATCGTTCTAGTTGTGGCGAAGTTTCCAGGCGACTTATAAATGCCTGGCAATTGGCGATACAAAGGAACCCCGGCCAGCCAATTTCCATTACCCACTACTGCGAGACCGATATCTGTCCCCTCGGGCAGTGCATGAAACGACCATTATCCCATCGGTTTTGCTTTGGCCACAATTACACATTCCATTGGTGCAATCACTCTCTCAAATGCAGATAAAGTGCCCAGCCCAGAAGTGGACATTCGTTCCTTCCACTCTCATACATTGTGCGAACATCGAACTATCCCATTTTACGTTTTGATTTTAGCAGGATTTAATTGTTCTGCAGTTCCCATTGAATCAGTAGAATGGAATGGGTTATAAGAGAGTTTGAAATGGCCATAACGCGGCCTCGTTCCATCTTAAAGAGACCCATAACAGAGAATTCTAGAGGATCTTGTGCCAGCTGCAGTTGGAAGCTCTCAAACTGCAAAGGGAAATTACATTTTAAGGTTAATTTCAGATAAAAAACCAAAAACCCACCGAGGCCTCCAGGCGTTCATCCAATTCCTCGCCAAACAGTGTCCGCTCCTCCAGTATTTTCATTATCTCTGCATTGGAATCCTGTACAGTGAATCCAATAAAGATAGTCATGAAGTTGTCCGCATAGAAGAAGACGGTGGAGACGACGATCAGCAGCAGTCCCCAGTTTGTGGCGCCCAGTCCGGAGGTGTTGTACCTAAGCGTGCAGAAGGCGAAGTAAATGGTGCCCATGGTGGAGAGATAGTAGACGATGGTCATGCTGAAGCTCTGTATCTGGAATATCTGCGACATGCTTTCGACCAGGGCCTTCAGCTCGGACTGTGTCTCTGCTATCCTGTCCAGCCGATCGGACAAGTCGCAGCATCTGGTCATAAACACTCCGCCCCGACGTTTGGTGCTGCCACAGAGGGTCTGGGTCTCCCTCATCAGCTCACGGAGTTCCCGCTTAATCATTGTATAGTGAGCCTTGACTTGCAGCATGGCTATGAAATACTGGGCCACGATCATATTGAATATGGATGTGTACATGCACCAGACCATCAACTTGAAGGCCAGAGCCGGACTGAGCTTCTGGCGAAGCGCGCCCAGGTCCAATATCATGTGCATAGAGTCCGACATGAAGGTGAATATAAACTTAAGCAATATCTCACGACGATATAGCGGTATCATTTCAGGCCTCTCTTGAATCGTACGGGCTAATCGATTCCAAATGCGCAGAATTTCGCTTCGGTATCGCCATCGACTGACCAACGTGAACAGAACTGCCCATTGGCGCACCGCAGTCACCAGCAGGAACACGTACTCCTCCAGGTGTTTGGCCCTGTTCAGGGCCAATAATGTACCGTCGTGAAGGAGCTGGAACAACAGCAGACCAATCAGACAGATATTGTGCACCAGCGCCTGGATCGTGGCCCTGCGGGTAATCATCGCTCGGCCTGTTCGAGAGTCCACTTCAAAGTTGAACACTCCCACGATTCGACCATAGAGGTAGACAAAGCGCTGAACTATCCAAACGATGTCAGCCATATCGCACAACTAACGGCGACTCGATGGAGGAGTCACAGCTATGGCGGCCTGGCAGGCAGTCTAATCAATACCATGCCCATATGCCCTAGGGGTGCAGGATAATGGGCTGACGATTAATTGCATCAGAGGGCACACAAATGGTTTATTCAATAGTTCTGCATATCGTATTGGATGAGAAGTACAGAGTTGATTAATATGGAACTGCCCACGTCATATGCAGAGGAGCGATTCAATTGAAAGAGGCCAAAACATTGAAGATTCAGTGGTTTTCGGGCCAGGCTCAGCTCGAAGCTATCAAACTGAAAGCAAACGAAGGTCAGGACAGGATGGTTAGTGTCAGCACTCAAGGCTGGACTTACAGCTGACTCCAGTCGCTCGTCCAGACCCCACCGAAAGAGATTTCGCTGATCCAGAAGCTTGTGCATCTCCTGATGGGCTTCCACCAGGTAGAAGACATTGTAGGCGTTTATTAAGCAATCGGCGTAGTAAAAAACAAAGAAAACAGCGCCCGCCAGCAATCCCAGCTTGGACCAGTTCTGTGTCATGTTTTTGTACTTGTAGATGCTAAACAATATGTAGCCGTTTGCCACGGAGGTCAGGTAATAGGTGATGCACAGGCATAGGACCTGTAGCTCATAGATCTTCGACATGCGCTCGATCAGCGCCTGTAATTCGGATTGGGTTTGGGCGATTTCATCCAATCGATCGGCCAGGAAGCAGCATTTCGTGACAAAGACCCCGTTTCGACGGTTACGCTTGGGCCCCAGGGACTGGGCCTCGGCGAGCACCTCTCGAAGCTTCCGATTGATGAGTATGTAGTGGCCCCGCGCATTCCCCAGGGCAAAGAAATACTGTGTAATAATTACATTGATGATTGCTGTCACGGTCATCACACCCCAGATGCCAAGGAGCAATGAGAACGTCCGCTTATCCCACATCATCAAGATGGCCAACAGAAATTGCATGCTCTCGGCCACAATGGCCAAACAGCATTTGCAGACGAAGCCACGGCGACAGAGCCGCATAACCTCGGGATTCTTTAGGAACAGGCACCGAAAGGAGCTGATGAGTCGCATGTACCGACGACGATGATGCCAGCGACTTGCCATGGCCGCTAACGCACAGGAGACGCGCATCCAAGAGACAAGCATGAAGACACTTTCATGCAGCGAACTGACATTTGACCACAGCGCTGCCATGCCATTGCTTCGCCAAAAGTGGTGCGCCAGTAAGGACATCAAGCACACGTTTGCACATGCTGAATAGATGGTGGCTTTTCTAGTGATCCGCGTTCTACCCGTCTTTAAATCGATCTCAAAGTTGAGAATACCGGTTAGGCGTCCATACACGTAGCTGATGCGCACAAACCATTTCACCATGTCAGGCATTGCGAAACACTAAAAAGCAATTGGTTTTGTTGGGACTGGCACTGACCTTTTGCGCGGAGCCTAATGAACTGATGTTTGGCTGTGATGCATTAGGGGGAACTGATGAAAGCTGACTATCTGGAATCAGTCAATTTATTGAATGAGTTTAGGCCTCGGCCCTAGGGGTATCCATTGGATAGTACGCGTAGCTGGGCAAATGGAGACGCTTATCTGGGTGTAATGATTGTAGCCCCGATGCGACGCTATAGTCATACAAAATAAATAAGGACAACTTCGTGACAGCATATCATTTCATTGAAAAACTATTTTTCCATAGGTTCCATTATACTCCCCCCTATGGCACTGTCCCAACCCCAAATGGATTGTGGTACCCACATGACCTACCCTCTGGGCGAATGTCTGTGCAGAGTGTTAAACATCTTGTGGTGCCTTCTTGTTTGCAGTTTGATTCCACAGTACATAGCTTGATAAACATGGCCCTGTTTCGAGAGGACAAAGATGTCAGCAACGATATAGGGAGGGAGGATAGGGAGGATGCTGCTGATGTTGCACCAGCGAAATTCTATGCCCGTAGAATGTTTACTCAACACTTATTTTTAGCAGCATAGCAGCACAGCAGCGAGGTATAGGTATAACCCTCTAAAAGGCATACATAACTGAAACTGAAACTTCGACATGCACTCGTCACTCCCCGTTCTCAAGTGCATGTCAAACACAGCGTAAGAAAGCGAGAGCAAGCCCCTCAGGTCATCATCTGTGGCTGATGTCAGCGATGTCTCAAGAGTCTTGCCCAAGTGCGAAGAGCCATCCAACCAAAAATGCAAGTGACGCTCAGTGTCAGTGTCTGGCTTTAAATATCATCGAAAGCATCCGCCAACCGGGTCTTTAATTTCAATTTATTATGGTCACATCACCAGGCTGGGAAATTCGAATGAATTTTTATAGTTTTGCATTTGTCATGCTGTCAAATGGCAAAAACAAAAAAAAAAAAAAAATTTGAAAAAATGTGACAACTGCAACAACAACGCAATTTCGCGCATGGCGGGTGTCAAAAATGTTGTGAATTTAGGCAACAAATCAAATTCCAAAAAAAACCATACACACGCACTCGCATCTCACAAATGGGACTGTCATGCAAAAACAGGAAACGGATGCGGACTCAAAATGGTTTCTGATTGCATGGAAATCCAATGCAGCACTCAACCAGAAAGTGTTGCATAGTTGCGGGGAGCATCAGCCATTGCAATGCATTGCATGAGAATGAGAATGAGAATGCATACACGCCCGTTGATTAAGGATTGTTCCGTTATTATATCAGGGAATCGGAACATGAGCAGAGTCATATGATGCATAGATACCAGCCAGTGTAATTATTTATTATAGACTTTAAAGCATTTCTCAGACATTCCACGTTCAATGTGTATACAGTTGAAACATTTTCCTCGAAAAGCTCTAGCTTCCCTGCTTGACATTTATCAAACTTTGCTGTCTGCCACCCGAGTCTCTGTCATTCGCTTAAAGTTGCCGAAGTCATCTCGAAAGTTGTATTCCCTGTAACAGACGATATTAATTAATATAAATGGCGACAGTTTCTAATGTTTGTCCTCGCGCTGGTGCTCAAAACTACCTCCTAATCACCATCAGCCGCATCCTACACACACTTCACCGTTTTTTGGGGTGGGTAAAGGAAAATGTCGCTGTTTGTGTGGGTGAGGGAACATGTCGCGTTTGTTGGATGTCATTAAAAAAAATGAAGCAAAAGTGCCTCTTACATTACAACCCATAATTTTCGCATATTAGTCGGGAGTCGAGTCGAGTGTAGTGGAGTGGTGGTGAGGGGACTGGCAGTAGACTCTGTGCGGGAATCATATGCACTTGACATGCAATTGCGTGCCGAGAGCCCCCTAAGCGAAGGCCGAAGGACGACCGAGGACCGAGGACCAAGCACCAAGGAAGAACGTTGGCAAATTCGCTTGGCTGAAAATTAAAACATTATTCATAAGCAGACGTCGACATCGAAGGGGACTACTACGATGGCGGAAACCAAGGATCCCCCACTAATGGCATGCTACCCGAATCCCCTGTGTAGGTGGATGCAGTGGAAGGACCTCTGTCTGGCCGTTGCTTTTACAACTATTCAGGCACTAACGAGTCCAAAGCTTTGGTAATTGTAAACTCTACGTGCCCACAGCTTAGTCGGCTGGGGGCTCCACCCCCCGCTGCCATCTCTCGAGGTGGGTTCGAGTGGCTTCGACATCTTGAGTGGTGGTGCTGAATGTAATCAAGAGCGATATCAAAGTCTCCCGTGTGAGTTTCTAATGAACTGGCGTGCCCGTGGCTCTTGGTTCTTTGCTTCTGGTCCAATTTATTGGGCTATAAAGGTGTCAAAATGTCTACTTTTCTCACCTTACTGGCATATTCGTTCATTGTGAATAATTAAGAAGACGTTTGCGTGTGGCTATCCCTTCAGCATCGGGTTTCCCTCCCTGGCAGCGCCATAAAAAAATCTCATTAGGCCAAATGTGTACCATAATGACTTTCCATTTGCCTTTGCCACGGACTCTTCTCTTCTGTGCTGGTTTCCCTTCCTTTTTTTTCCCTTTGCAATGTTTGAATTGGGTTTTGGTAATTCATTAAATGAATGAAGGTAAATGAATGAATATGGGCATGGGCATAGATTTCGTTAATCATTGACTGGAGATTGGAGTTCCTGCTTGGGAGATCATCAAAGAGTTTATCTTTGCTTTGGTACTAGTTCAGCTTTGAGTAGAATTACCTTTGAATGGGGATATTGGAATGCAAATCCTTTTTCATTCTTTTAGGAAATATTGCTAGGAAGAAAACCTGCAAGGTTTTTCAGGTTGTTTTGTGAATTCGGCCAAAATATACAGATATCAAAACACTGTTAAGCATTCTCGTACACGAGTATTCGCAGTTTTATATGCATTAGCTGACTGGTTACTTCATCATCATTAGCCGACACCACATAGCCTATCACGAAGCTCTTTCCCCCTGGAGGCGTGTCTGCTTTAATTACATGCTAATTATCCAAAAATGACTCCACAGAATTCAGTACAATGAATTGCACTTTTTGTTGTATAATTTGTGTGGACCTAATCCCTTTGTGTGTGTGTGCCTGATTAATTTCCCTTTAAAACACACATCTCCTCTTTTAGTGTAGAAAAATGAAGGCTATAGAATCAGTATGAATCAGTATTCAAGTCCATATGTTTTGTGGTTAAAGCAATGCAAAAAGCAAAGAAAGGCAGTCAGTGTTAAGCAAAATTCACAGGCCAAATAGGATCAAGTTGTGGTTAGACTTGGGCTCGAGTTGTCCTCGAGTTTTTGTCCGGACACGGCTTCTGTTCGATTTGCGATGCTTTTGTGGCCAGTGTGAAGGATGTGGCTCTGTGGACCCTTTTCAGGCATCGTGTGAAATATGCGGAGCACTCGGACCACTCTTTCTATTTCTCGTCCTCCTGGAAACTTTTGTTGTTTGTTGGTCAAATTGTCGTAAATTAGTTTTAACACCTGACTGAGTGGCTTTCGAGTATCTGTGTAGGTGTTGGCGGATGTCTGCCTGTGTCTGTATGTGTGTGTGTGTGTGTGTGTTGGGAGTTTTTCGATTCGAATTTTGTCTGTCAGTCTTTGCTGGGCATTGGAACCCTTTTGTCGTTCGGTAGCCATTCTGTTCGAGTTCTGACCTTGCCACCTGGTTTGTGGTGGTGTGAAATTAATGTAATAGGCTTTGTTTAGCCATAAACTATGTGTGAACATGGATTTTCAATTAAATTGAATGCGGAAAATGTTGAAAATTCTGCTAGCCATTGCCTTCAGTGAAAGGTGTTGGTTGCAAAGAGCCAGTGCCTGGAGGCTTGTCTCTGCTCAAGTGTAGGAGTATATATATATATAAAGGTTTTCTGTAAGTGGCTTCGACATGGGTTTTGGTCTCTTTGGAAGTCCCTTCCATCCGCTTCCTGCCCTTCCGCCACATGCTATTTATATATTCACATTGAGATTCCATCTTTTGCTTTCTGCCTCATCATTAATTACAATGTACTTTCTGGGCTGACTTTTCCATTGACTGACTTGGCTTCGCACACTCTTTCGCATTGGTTTTTGATTTGAGTTCGTCGGGTGCTGCGGCCGCCATTTTTCTGGCATTCATTCATGCACACAACCATACAACCATACATACATACATACATGTGTGCATTTTTCATTTCCGCCCTGTCGTTGCGGCATTTCCGTTCATTTTTCACATATTTTTACGCTGGCGAGACGATGACTCCACATGTGTCTCTGGCTCTCTGTGTGTGTGTCAGTGCTTGGTAAAATTAAAACTTGCCTTTTCTTTTTTTTTTTGTTGGTGGCTTGCAATTCATTTTTCATGTCACCAGCTTCCTTAGGGCTCTTTTTTTTCGCAGGGATTTGCTTTAAAGCTTTTGGCAATCCCTTCCGAAATTACATTTTCTCCTTACTCTGCTTTTCTCTGACTAAACAACATTGTCAATACTCTCTGAACAATGGAGATGGAGCATTCATCTCAAGCGTTTCACCTGAGCGACCCACCCAAGGTGAAGAGCTTGTCCAAAATATCCCAGAGTGGTGTCTGATTTGGTAGCCAAGCAACGGAGGAGGCGAGCGGACAAGTCATAAACCACTCAGTGGCCAACTGAAAATACCACAAATATTTGCCGCTAACCAACTTGCCAGCAAATCTCTCTCCATCTTCCATTTCCCAACTCCCCACCATTTTCTCAGAGTCTGTCCGATCTCTCTCTACATCTCACGTTCGTTTAGTTTTGCTGGTTTTATGTGCTTTACTCTTTCGCCTTTTGATATATGGCCATTGCAGACTCCGCTTTTCCACGTTTCCACGTTTCCACCTTTCCAAATTGCCTTTTTTTTTTTTCGAGGTTACGGGCAGAGAGCAGGGTACGGGTGTGTGTGTGTAAAACCGAAAGTGCTGCCATTTATTTTATTGCCACCTCAGGAGC